GGCTTCTCAGTAGTTCCCTCGCGCTGGGCCTCGCCGCACTGGGGCTTCTCAGTAGTACGCCCTCTCTGGGGCTTGCCACGCCCGCACTGGGGCGTCTCAGTAGTACCCCCTCTCTGGGGCTGGTGCCCATGCACCCCATACACCACGCCCTTACTGGCGCTGGGGTCCCCACACCACTGTGGGCTCCCTATGAGGATGCTGTGCTCTCACTGGCGCTGGGGCCCCCACACCACTGTGGGTCCCTATGAGGCCTCCTCCAACCCCTAATAGCCTCACCCAAACCACCGGTGTAATAAATAACAACAAAGCAAAACACAAGCCTCTTGGCTACAACTTAACCATAAGCCACCTGGCTATAACAACATTGCTCCAACGTCCCAGAGCTGCCATCCTTTACTCGGCTTGAGTAGTACCTGCGGTTCTCGCATCTTAGCTCCAGGAGCTTCTCTCTGTCTGGCTGCTCGCAGGTAACTGCCAGCCTAGCCTCAGCCCCTGGGCTTTATAAGGGCCAGGCCCTGCCCCTTCCAGTCAGCTGACCTCCTGGTTGCTCTGGCAACCCACAGCTGGGCTCCTTATTCCCTGCTAGGGCTCTTTCCCCGGCAGTTTCCCCTCTCTAGGAGCAGAGCACCTCAGTGCTCTGTGACAGTGATGAACACTAGTGTAGTTTTATCCCCAGTTCTCTCACAAATAATGTATATCAGAACTGGAGAAGTTACTTTGTTGTAGGGATTTACCTCATCTGTTCATTTCTTGTTTATGTTGTTATAAAAATCAGTTACATTGGTGTAAACACATTGTGTGCGCAAACCCTCAGAAATGGTGATGCATGTATATATAGCCTGGAAATCAGTGACAGTCTCATAAACTGAGCTATTTTGTGAGACTTCAGATACTGCTGGAGCTGGGTCAAAATACACTAAGAAAAGTATTTTAATCAGTATTCTGCCTTACTCTGGACAGTCTTGCCTGACAGTAGGAAGCACAGGAATGAGAAACACTTTATTCTGGAAAAAAATGACCAAACATTTTGATATCCAAAAGTTTGTTTCAGTCTAACCTAAAGTCTGAATGTTCACCTCAGTTCCTCTCGTACCCAATGCCAGGTTTTTCATCATAATAATTAAAGTGTTCACCCAGCTGCCAATGAAGTCAAGTGGCATCTTTTATGTATTTCAAAAAAGGAATTTGGGCATGAATTCTACTTTCTCCAAGGGATTAAACATTACTAGTAAACAGCCTGTAAAAAAATTAAGAATCAATGTTTTTTTATGCTTTTTGCAACACCAACAGTCCCCTGGGCATTAAAATCTCCAGCATGGACATGCCAACTACATGATTAGAAATTCAACTGGTTAGGGCAGGTGGCTGTCCAACATCCCTAAAGAAAGATACAAAAAAATAGTTTTCCTGAAGGATGATGATACAAGAATCATAGAATCATCGAGAAGTAGGGCTGCAATAGACCTCCAGAGGTCATCTTGTCTAACTCCCTGTCTGAAGCAAGATCACTGCTATCCAAACTATCCTGTACAAACCTCTTCTTGAACACCTCTAGTGATGGAGAGTCCACAACTCCCCTAGGCACTCTATTACATTGCCTTACTGTTTTAACAGTGAAGAAGTTTTTCTAGATATCCATCTAAACTTTCTTTGCTGCAACTTCAAGCCATTGGTCTATGCCTTCCTCTGCAGCAAGAGAGAAAAGGTGTTTCCTTCTTCTTTATGGCAGCTCTTCAGGTATTTGAAGACTGCTATCATGTCCCCTCATAAGCACCTTTTCTGCAGGCTGAACATGCCTAGATCCTTCAGCCTCTCCTCATATGCTTGCCTTCCAACACCTTTATCATCTTTGTTGCTTGCTTATGGACCCTCTCTAACTTCTCCTGTCCTTTTAAAATGTGGAGCCCAGAACTACACACAATACTCCAGATGAGGCCTAACCAGTGCTGAATAGAGAGGCATTATCACCTCTCAGGTCTTGCACCAAATGCTTCTATTGATGCATCCCAAAACCACATTCACCTTTTGTGCAGCTGCATCACACTGCAGCCTCATATTTAGTCTGTGGTCTACCAAGACTCCCAAGTCCTTTTCCATAGTGCTGCCATCCAGCCAGGTGTCCCCCATTTTATATTTGTGTTTTTGATTATTCCTCCTGAAGTGTAGCACCTTGCATTTGTTTGCATTGAACTTTATCCTATTAGCTCTAGCCCGACTTTCCAATCTGTTGAGATCCTTCTGAATTGCGCTCACATCCTCCATGTTCACAGTCCTTCCCAGTTTTGTGTTATCTGCAAACTTGCTCAAGAAACTTCCTATGCCATCACCCAAATTGTTACTAAAGATGCTGAACAGGACCGGTCCAGGACAGACCCCTTTGGAACTCCACTCTAAACCTCCTGCTATTCTGATACGGACCCATTAATAATGACCCTTTGCCTAAGGAGGGAGGCTGCCCATTTATTGCCCAATGCCAAGGACGTAATACACAACTCTGTGCTGCCCCTATACCATGTCCCATGCTTCACAGATGGCATCATTATATGGCTCTAGCCCCATGATGGACCTCCTTCTATGCCCGCCTGGCATTCGGACTCCAACTGGATCCATCTTTCTCAGGCAGTCTACTCCACCCTCATTCTGGGCTGCTAAGCTCCTAAACCCTTCTCCCTCTTGGCAGTGGCCCCCTCCAGGACCTTTGGCTACAAAGACCATGGCATCACCTCTAGGCCAGTCAGAACCCTAGGCCTCTGGCTTTGGGTGTCCCTTGTGGTGGGTGCTCTGGAACTTTGACCATTCTGGTCCTGGCCCCAGCATTGACCAGTTGATGGTTTCTCTGGTTATGTTATTGAGCCACTTGCCTTCTCTCTCTCTCTCTCACATGGGCCTGCCTTCTCAGGCCCCTACAAATCCAGCTCACTCAGTCTCTAAGGCTGGCCTATACACAGTCCTTCAGGCCTGCCCACGTGGACCCTACTCTACGCAGCCTTCTCACTTGAGTCTACTGCTTTCTCATATGCCCTCACAGGGTCCACTACTCTGCCCTCTCACTGGGGCCACTAGGCCTTACGCTCCTTGGGTCTCAGGCCTGATGGACCCCTTGCCTGTCCCCTCTATGGGGTAACCCACCAGGTAATGGGGGCTAAGGCTATACGGCACCCCATACTTGCCTTTCACTAGGGAGGCACTGGTGTGGCATTTCCTTGGGACCATCCCACCACAGGCAGCTCCACCACACCATCTAACCCAGGCAGGGTATAGTTTTAGGTCATTCCACAGGACCAGGAACCTCCTCCATGCAGCAACTGCCCACTTACCTCTGAGAGCCTGGGTTTATACTGAGGCTGCCCAGCCCCATCCTCCAATCAGAGAGCCCTCTTACAGTCATGTGACCACCTTGTTAAGCCACACCACACCTGCTGGCTGCCGCACAGCCTGCTTAAGCCTCTGAAAGTGGCAGGCACCAAAGGTGCCCTGCCTCAGGCTGCAATGGGGAAAAAGAAATCAACCATTTTCAAGAAAATAAACTACAGCCAAAAATAGTTGCTAGCAGAAAAACAAACAAGCAAACAAAAAATTCCAGTGTATTAATATCCCATTTAAGAAACAACCCCTTGGACTATGAGATTCCTTTGTCTTATTATTGTGTAATGGTAACTGACTATTCAAGATGCTGAGAGTACTTTGCAGAACAATATTATGGAAGGTGCACATGTCCTAACAGTAGTGGAGAATTAGATCCAAAAGGTAAATGCTGTCAGACTTTAGGGAACATTGGCACATGATGTCTCATTTGATTGCTTTGGTTAATACTGTAAGAGTGATGTTGTAGCCAGTGTAATGCATAAATTATGCGAGAGGCAAGAATTTCTTAGGGTGATATCTTTTATTGGACAACTGTGTGGTTGGGATAGAGTAAGACAAGCTTTCAAAGACATTCTTCCTCTTGCATTCAAAAGCTTGTCTAACTCTATTGCAACTACACAGCTGGTCCAATAAAAGATATCACCCTAAGAAATCCTTTCCTCTTGTCCATTACTGGACTGTTACTGAATCATATACTCCATGCTTTGCCAATAACTGTACAGTATTGTACATTAACATTTTATGAACCAAATGTTTTATTGTTTCTAAGCATGCATATCCTTCAGTCTGTCATTTGATATTAGATGTTCTATGACTGTAATTCTAAGCTGATGAATAATGCACCCTGTAGTACCATTACAATTGTATTTTCAAGATTTTGTAGTATGAACTAATTAAATTAATTATGCCTCTCCCCTCCTACAAACTGTATAAATCTCTCTATAGATAAATGTCTCCATAGGAACACAACAAATGTAATTTCCTCAGCTGATGATGGGTAAAAAGGAGGCTAAAACAGTCAACAGATTGAACAATTAGGTTAATGTGTTCAGTAGAGAGGCTGATGTGACTATAAAGCAGTTCCCCCTTAACTTGTTTTTATGATAATTAAAAAAAGAAAAGAAATCCAGCACCCTGGACTGGTTCCCTCCTAAATATTGTGGGAAACATTTCCCCATTACACAATAGTCCCGGGAAATTTTAGAAAAGAAACATGCAAACATACCCAATACCTTACACATGCCATTAATACAGATATCTCGGCCGTTGTTTCCTTCAAAGCAAGGAGTACCATCAAGAACTGCATCCAGCATTTTCTGTGAAAATTGAGCATCCACAGGACGGCAGTGGAGCTCACAAGGATTAGCTGAAGGAAAAATAGAGAGACTTTCTCAATGTAGCATTTTTAACATATGTGATAAATTTTAGTTCATCACAGAACATTAAAGATGCAATATACAGGGAATATATCACATACCCCAAAACTGTGGATTAGTCATAGCCTAGATGATGGAAAATAAGAAATTTAGTAACCATACCAAACTGTACAACGGTGGTGAAGGAATGCATTTCTAGCCCCATGTAAAGCCTGTCATGACCCAAAAGGCATGATTGTGTGTGCGCTTCGGCACCAGAATTATCCCCGCCAAGTTGCAGAGCATTGCACGGGAGTGTTTCCTGTTGTAGAGGAAAACCCCGGTGCAGGGACGAGTTTCCCACCTTTTCTGCAGCTTCTTTTGCAGGGTGCATTGCTCATGTTGCAAGAGGAATGCACGGTGCAAAAGAGTTCCCGCCACCGGTATGCAAATTCGTTCCCCGTGATTGGCTAGTCTTAAATTATTCACATGTGGCGGCTAACGATTGGTCTGTTAGCCGTATAAGAGGCTTGAGCGGTTTCCGCCCAAGCCGAAGAGGACTCCACATCCATCTCGTGGGGACTCTGGGTACACGGCAGGGTAATAGAAACCCTGTGTGAGATCCAGAGGAGCGTGGCGGCCTGATCCGCCGCCCCCTCTTCCCGTCTTCCGAACGCAACT